ATGAACACAGAAATTATCTTTATGAGGAATTCATGGTAAATATTTTTTAAGGTTTTCTTCTTTCCAAGTTTGTTTCCTCCAAATCAGTGTTTATATTTGCTTTAGTCTCTATCTTTCATGTGAGAGGCATTCCTTAGATGTGTGAGGACCCTTGTCTATCTGCTCATGATTATGAATGAAGAGAAGAGCTGATTGCAAGTTGAGTGTATGTGTAGGGCTTATTGACTCTGAACTTCACTGTTGGGTAAACTGGGTGAGCCGTTTGTTGAAGAATTGCAAATGTCACTATATTAGTTTCCTATTGCTATGGTGACAAATAACTACAAACTTAGTGACAGAAAACAACACAAGTTTATTATCTTACAGTTCTGGAGTGTAGAAGTCCAAAATCAGTTTCACTGGACTAAAATCAAGATGTTGGCAAGCCTGAGTTCCTTCTGGAGGCTCTAGATGAGCATCCATTTCCTTGACTTTTCCAGCTTCTACAGGCTGCCTGCATTCCTTGATTGATTCCCTTCCTCCATCTTCAAAGCCAGAAGTGTAGCAGCTTCTCCCCTGTCGGATTTCTGTTCCTATCTTTGTATCTTCTCTCTCTGAACGTGATATTCTTGTCTCCCTCCGTAACAACCTTTGTGATTACATTGGATTTGCCTGGATAATCTCCCCCATTTAAAAATACTTAATTATTCACATCTGCAAAGTCCATTTCTAGGCAACATATTCACAGGCTCCTGGGAATAGGACATGGACATTTTGGGGGGTTATTATTCAGCCTACCACAATCAGTATCTAAGTTTTCCCTCTTACACTGGCCAGACTCCCTACAAGAGGCTCCAACTTGGAAGGTAAAATGTGGCTACCAGTATTCTGAGATCTGAGTGGACTAAAGGGGTTTGGGGCAGGTGTCTCTCAGCATTCCTCATTCAGGATGAACCAGTCACTTAATGTCTCTGGTTTTGCTGCAGTGTCCATATCTTTGGTGAGTTTAATTCCCTCCAATTCAGAGACCCTCTATTTTACCTTTTCCAGAGAATAAACTTTCAAATATCTGCCACTTTCTAGTGACATAGAGAGGAGAAGGGATACAGGGAGGCACTCAATCCTTCTTGTTTTAGTATTCTTCCTTTACTCCCAGTTCCAGATGAATCTGGTGCTATCCATCTGGGAGTCTTTTGAAGATTCTGACATGTAGATTACGCTGGCTCTCTGCTCCCCACCCCCACTCCCAGAACTTGGGATTTTCATGTTTCATGAATTGGTTTTGTCAGTTATGTTTTATCAGTATGCTTTGTAGCTTCCACAATTTTATTGCTGTTGTCTCCTCTCCTGATCTCTGCATATTTGTTGGTTTATGTCTTTAAAAAAATCTTTATTATAAATTTAGTGTGATTTTAGGCAGGAGTGAAATTAGATGTGTGTGTGTGTTTTCATATTAATGCAGAAAAAACATTTGACTTGAATTGGTTATGTTTCCTTGGGTCAGGCTTGGGTTGGCTCTGACTGCAGTGGCCAGGCACCACATCTAATAAAAGGATTTTAGTGGCCAGGTTTTTTGTGTCCTGCCTTACCTGCCCAATTACACACTAAAGCTTGATTTCTTGCCTCAGTTTCCTACCAGAAATCCCAGTTCCTCTGAGACTGGGCTCTTGTCCCTAATTCTCAGCTTCATCTCACAAACCAGGAAGTAGAACTGGCAGGAGTCATTCTGAATATAAATAGTTGGGGTTTTCATAATAGTACCCTTGAGTTGCCCCCTTTCCTTGTGGCTTTTCAGTGGGATGGAAGTATATAGGCCAGAGGCTGAGGTTTTAGGAAACCGATTCTTTATTTTTATTTTTATTTATTTATTTAACAGAGAGAGAGAGAGAGAAGGAGACAGAGCACAAGCAGGGGGAGCAGCAGAGGGAGAGAGAGAAGCCCGCTCTCCGCTGAGCAAGGAGACCAATGCGAGGCTCCATCCCAGGACCCTGGGATCATGACCTGAGCTGAAGGCAGACACTTAACCCACTGAGCCACTCAGGAACTTGATTCTGACAGCTATATTCTGACACACATTCTCCAAACATGTGACAAAAGGAAGTGCAGGCCTGTCTTGCACTTTGTCTAGCCTAGAAATGCCTGCCTCTTACCTCTGCCTACTTTCCCTCCCCAGACTTCTGACCCTATCTTCTCCCTAGAACTGTAGGACATTCCTTTACTCCCTTCCCCTTCTGTTATATTTGTGGTATTTCCACATCTCAGCCATCCCAAATCTGCTCCAGCTACACTGAGTTCTGATTTCAGTCACCCGGGTTCTAAGAGCTTTATATGTATCAACTCACAATCTGCATAACACCTCTATTATTTTTTTAGTATTATTTTTTTAGAAGGGGAGTGGGGGCAGAGGGAGAGGGAGAGAGAGAATCTTAAGCAGGCTCCATGCCCAGCACAGAGCCAGATGTGTGTGGCTTGACCCATGGGGCTGATCTCAGGACCCTGAGATCATGACCTGAGCCAAAATCAAAAGCCAGCTGCTTAACCGACTGAGCCACGCAGGCTCACACACTCTATTATTATTCCTCCTTTACAAATTCAGGAACTGAGGCACAGATACTGTAAGTTAACTTGACCAGGATTGTACAACTAATAAGGCAGAGTCCCGATTTGAATCTGAGCATTTTGACTCCAGAGTACATCTTTAAACCATCTTTAAACCACTTTAAACCATCTTTAAACCACTACGTTATAGACTTATAAATCACATCCATATGCCAAACACTGTTTTCTGAGATATATATATATACATATATATATATGATACACATATCTGAGATACATAAATATATAATATGTAAATAAGATTATACAAATTAATATATATATATATATATACACACCCATATAATCTTATGGATACTATAGATCAAGCAAACAACCAAAAGGAAAGATACTGAGGCTCTGAACGACAAAATTAACAACTTCACCTAATGGACACTGTAGAATCTTGCACCCAATATTTGGAAAAATATTCACTTTTAAAGTACATAAAATATTTACAAATAGTAACCATAAAACATGTTTTAAAAATGTTCAAAGTATCAGAATCATATAGACCACATTGTATAATCACAATACAATCAAGTTGGAAATCAATTTTTTTTACTGTGAATTTTTTAAATTTTATTATATTATGTTAATCACCATACATTACAACATTAGTTTTTGATGTAGTGTTCCATGACTCATTGTTTGCATATAACACCCAGTGCTCCATTCAATACATGCCCTCTTTAATACCCATCAACAGGCTAACCCATCCCCCCACCCCCTCCCCTCTAGAACCCTCAGTCTGTTTCTCAGAGTCCATAGTCTCTCATGGTTCATCTCCCCCTCCAATTTCTGCCCCCCTTCATTTTTCTCTTCCTACTATCTTCTTTTTTTTTTTAACATATAATGTATTATTTGTTTCAGAGGTACAGGTCTGTGATTCAACAGTCTTACACAATTCACGGTGCTCACCATAGCACATACCCTCCCCAATGTCTATCACCCAGCCACCCCATCCCTCCCGCACCCCACCACTCCAGCAACACTCAGTTTGTTTCCTGAGATTAAGAATTCCTCATATCAGTGAGCGCATACGATACATGTCTTTCTCTGATTGACTTATTTCGCTCAGCATAATACCTTCCAGTTTCATCCACGTCATTGCAAATGGCAAGATTTCATTCCTTTTGATGGCTGCATAATATTCCATTGTATATATATACCACATCTTCTTTATCCATTCATCTGTTGATGGACATCTTGGCTCTTCCCTTAGTTTGGCTATTGTGGACATTGCTGATATAAACATTGGGGTGCACGTACCCCTTCAGATCACTACATTTGTATCTTTGAGGTAAATACCCAGTAGTGCAATTGCTGGGTCGTATGGTAGCTGATTTCGTCTCATTTTTCCTCCCTTCCCCTATGATCCTCTGTTTTTTTTTTCTTAAATTCCACATATGAGTGTCTTTCTCTGATTGACTTATTTCACTTAGCATAATACCCTCTAGTTCCATCCACATCCTTGCAAATGGTAAGATTTCATTTTTTTGATGGCTGAGTAATATTCCCTTGTGTGTGTGTGTGTGTGTGTGTGTGTGTGTGTGTGTGTATACAGGTGCCCCTTCAGATCACTACATTTGTATCCTGTGGATAAATACCCAGTAGTGCAATTGCTGGGTCGTAGGGTAACTCTATTTTCAACTTTTTGAGGAACCTCCATACTGTTTTCCAGAGTGGCTGCACCAGCCTGCATTCCCACCAACAGTGTAGGAGGGTTCCCCTTTCTCTGCATCCCCGCCAACATATGTCGTTTCTTGACTTGTTAATTTTAGCCATTCTGACTGGTGTGAGGTGGTATCTCATTGAGGTTTTGATTTGGATTTCCCTGATGCTGAGCAATGTTGAGCACTTTTTCATATGTCTGTTGGCCATTTGGATGCCTTCTTTGGAAAAATGTCTGTTCATGTCTTCTGCCCATTTCTTGATTGGATTATTTTTTAAAAACCCAAACTCATATATTCGGGAATTTTAAAGCACATTTAAAAACACATAGATGGAAAAATAAATCCTAAAGAAAAGTAGAAAAATTTATAGCTAAATAATAAGGAAAATATAACATATTGAAACTTGGGAGATGCAACCAAATTGACACTTAAATAAAATGTGTATAGTCTTAAATGATTATTTTAAGGAAAAAAAAGAAAGTTTGAAATTAAGCTAGGCATTCAATTTAAGAAGTTAGAAAAATTACAGTGAGAGAGAAGCAAGGGAAATAAGAGAGAAATAGCAAATATAAAAAATAAATGCATAAAATAGAATTCATTCTCAATTAGAATAGCAATATTCGGTCTCTCTGAGAATGAGAAAATGAAAAGAACAAGAAAAAGGGCTATCACACACTTACCTTCATGTTTAGTGCTTTTCTATTTTAAGCTCCTTAAGCAGATTTTACAAAAAGGATGAGAGACTACTTCCTTTTAAAATGGTATTTATTTTTTCTCATTATTTAGGTAACGCATTTTCAAATGAAAATTTGAAAATATAGAACAATGTAGAGAAAAGAAACATGGTCACAATCCAACCATTAGAGGATAATTATTAACTACTAGCATTTAGGTATTGTTCCAGTCTTTTTTTGTCTGTATCTGAAGGTTTGCACATGTCTACATGTAATCATATGGTTATTAAAAAATTTGGGCTCACAGTGCACACATAGATTTGTATCCAGCTTTTCCCCTTAAACCTGCATTATTAGCAGATGCTCTTTAAATTAAAGATGTGGGGTTGCTGTGTTAATATTTAATTTACAGATACAAATATTCTACTGCATTTGGCTGCAACCGTGTTCTTAGGCAATGTTTCCAATGGAGTCGTTCAGCTGACATCTGCTCATGGTCCCCTCAAGGCATGGTGCCATATTGAATCTAAACAAGGTTGAGACAGTCTGACTGTGTCAGACAAACGGGTGGGGTTGACCTGCCAGAAGTCTGTTTACCGGAGGGTAAAGGGTAAAGGAGTCATTGGGAGAACTAAGAAAGGTGGATGATAAATATGACAAGTTTATGGGCTGGGTGGAGTAATCAGATACTCTCTGTATGTTGGTGTCCTTTCTCATCCTTTAATTATTTTCCTGACAGCAATGATTAGGTTGCTTTTTTCTTGGCTTCCTTGAGTTCAAATTCTCAAACAAGAATGACCACTAATTTCATTTGGATGGTGTTTCACTCTTGGCTAAGTCAGAGCTAATAGGGTGACAATAGGCTGCCCATGGCTTGGGTGCCCATCCCAGTTCTTTTGGCTGGGTCCAGGCATGGAAGTCATCTGATATACAACATGGCTTGCTTTCAAGACACTCACATCAGCAAAGGCTGCAGTCAGGGCAGCTTCCTTTAAAGGAGGATGTGGGCAGAGCAGGTGCCAAGGAGAGAAGCATTTTTCCCTCTTCCCCCAGGCTGTTGCCCAGCTTTGGTACAGAGCAGGTATTGACAGAACATTGTTGACAATGTTCATGGAGGAGAGCAACAGGGAAGGGGCAGAAGTGTTATGGCCCAGTGGGGCCTATGATGGAGACAGGTGTTCAGCAGAGCAGCCATGAAGGGCAGATGGGCCTGGCATGAATATCCAACACTGAGTGTCTGCTATACCTCTTTGTGCTATGTCCTAAGGAGAATGGGAAAATATATAACATAGCTGCTGTTCTCAAGGAGGTCATAGTAAGTATAGGGTATAGATAGAAAGTTTCTAAATGTTTCACTAAAAATTTTTTTTCTATAAATACAGGTAGTGGTAACTCCCTATGACATAGGTATCAACCGGTCAATGGTCACTTTTTTTTAACCCATTGAGCATGTCCTCGACTGCTCATTTATTTCAAGGCTACCTCTTGTAGCCCACCACACTCATCCTCAGGAGTGAGACAATAAGGTTAAAGGCTCAGTTAGATTATATAAATTTGTATAACTTTTTTTGCCTTTTCTTTTCTTTTTTCCAAAGATTTTATTTATTTATTTGACAGAGAGAGAGACAGCAAGAGGGAATACAAGCATGGGGAGTGGGAGAGGGAGAAGCAGCCTTCCCGCCAAGCAGGGAGCCCAATGTGGAGCTCCATGCAGGGCTCCATGCGGGGCTTGATCCCAGGACCCAGGGATCATGACCTGAGCCAAAGGCAGATGCTTAACGACTGAGCCACCCAGGTGCCCCCTTTTTTTTGTCTTTTCTATCTCAATACTTTCTTTATTGAAGGGTTGAAGCATTATTTTATGATGTTTACAGATACTCAAGGTGGGAAAACATGTGGAAAAAGTATATATCTTTAAAGGTTGGCTAAAAGCAAACATTTTTAATAGTAGAAATATGAGTTTTAAAATATGTGTTAATTATAAAACATGATAAAGAAAACTTGGGAAATAGAGAAAAGTAGGAAGGGTCACCTATCATCCAGACAAATGACAGTTGACATTTTTCTGTAAATCCTTCTAGATTGAGTTTTTCTCCTAAATTTTGATTATTTGGTGTTTATCTTAGATGGTTATGTTTATACTGTAAACATAAATTAGTAATCTGCTTTTTAAATTAACAGTATTCATAATCTTAAAATATAATTTGTAATGACTGTGTATCATAATTTGTAATGACTATATAATATTACAACTAATGTACTACTCTTGATTTAATCCTTCCCCTAAAGTTAAACTTTGGGGTATTTCTAATTTTCTAGAATATTAAATAATATTGCATTATTTGTATTTGCATAAAGTTTTATCTTCTATTCTTATTTATTTCCATAGAATAGATTATTGGAAATGGATTTGTTTGACCAAACAATATGGATATTCCTGAAGATCCTGGCACATATTGCTTAGAAAAAAATTCCAAATTGAAGGGTGACATAGTTGGCACTTTCAGTGAGGACTATCAATTTTATAAGCAGGCTCAAAAAACACCAAACGGAGAAATCACCATCATTTAAATACTGCCTTAAGGTCTATAGTAGATATGAGACAGATGGATGGCATCTTGATAGTGGAAAATATTTTTGTTGTCATTCAAATGATTCCAGGCTATAAAAAAAGAAAAAGAAAATGAATAAAGTAGTAAATTTGGCTTGATTAATGATCCATGATCCAGGTAGCAACTTAAATTTATAGTTCATATTCAAAACATGATGAATTAGGAAAATATCTACTTGAAAATACTAGGAAGGGTATACGTTATTTTTTGTTAAATAAGACACAAGATAACTCGTTCATGATTTCTCTTCACTCTGGACTTGCTGGGTAGTTTTAGCAATTTCAATCATAATGAAATTAACATCAGTATTTTAGCAAATGAAGCAGAAGCAGTTTTGAAGGGATAAAAACATCTTTCTCGGAGGGGGGTGGAGCAAGATGGTGGAGGAGTAGGAGACCTGGATTTCGTCTGGTCCCACGAATTCAGCTGGATAGGGATCAAACCATTCTGAACACCTACAAACTCAACAGGAGACTGAAGAAAAGAATAGCAACAACTCTCTGAACAGAAAAGCGACCACTTTCTGGAAAAGTCATATTCTATCCCTTCATAGTAGTTAACCTTATTTTTGGCATATATATATAGGGCATATATATATAGGGCATATATATATATATATATATATATATATATATATATATATATATATGTTGTTCTCTCTTTAAAATTTTGAGATAGTTTCTCCTAACAGATCAAAATATACCCTAAATCTCTAGTGTATGGCTTTGTTCTAGTCTCCTGCCTGATCACATCCTCTCCTTTTTTTTTTAAATCCTCTTCTTTCTTTTTTCAAACAACTTCTTATCAATTCCTTTTATAAAATTTTTTATAATTTTCATCTTTACAGTCATATTCCATCCCTTCATCATATCAACCCTTATTTTTGTACATATATAAGTTTTTCTTTCTTTAAAATTTTGGGAGGCACTTTCTTCTAACAGACCAAAATACACCCAAAATCTAGTGTGTGGCACTGATCTATGCACCAGCCTGATCATATTTGATCATATTCTGTTTTTTTGTTTTATTTTGTTCTGTTTTTGTTTGTTTTTATCTTTTTCTTTCTCTTTTTCTTTTTTTCCTTTTCTTTTTTCTTTCTTTCCCTTTCTTTTTCCCTAGCTTCAGGTCTTTTCTGATTTGTTTAGAGTATATTTTCTGGGGATGTTGTTACCCTGTTAGCATTTTGTTCTCTCATTCACCTATTCTCCTCTGGACAAAATGACAAGACGGAAAAAATCACCTCAACAAAAAGAACAAGAGGTAGCACCGACTGCCAGGGACCTACTCAATACGGACATTAGTATGATGTCAGATCTAGAGTTCAGAATCATCACTTTAAAGATACTAGCTGGGCTTGAAAAAAGCATGGAAGTTATTAGATAAACCCTCTCTGGAGAAATAAAAGAACTAAAATCTAACCAAGTCGAAATCAAAAAGGCTATTAATGAGGTGCAATAAAAAATGGGGGTGCTAACTGCTAGGATAAATGAGGCAGAAGAGAGAATCAGTGATATAGAAGACCAAATGATGGAAAATAACGAAGCTGAGAAAAAGAGAGATAAACAACTACTGGATCACGAGGGCAGAATTTGAGAGATAAGCGATACCATAAGACAAAACAACATTAGAATAATTGGGATCCCAGAAGAAGAAGAGAGAGGGGCAGAAGGTATATTGGAGCAAATTATAGCAGAGAACTTCCCTAATTTGGGGAAGGAAACAGGCATCAAAATCCAGGAGGCACAGAGAACCCCTCTCAAAATCAATAAAAATAGGTCAACACCCCAACATCTAATAGTAAAACTTACAAGTCTCAGAGACAAAGAGAATATCCTGAAAGCAGCTCAGGAGAAGAGATATGTAACCTACAAGGGTAGAAACATTAGATTGGCAACAGACCTATCCACAGAGACCTGGCAGGCCAGAAAGGACTGGCAGGATATATTCAGAGCACTAAACGAGAAAAATATGCAGCCAAGAATACTATATCCAGCTAGGCTGTCATTGAAAATAGTAGGAGAGATAAAAACCTTCCAGGACAAACAAAAACTAAAGGAATTTGCAAACACGAAACCAGCCCTACAAGAAATCTTGAAAGGGGTACTCTAAGCAAAGAGAGAGCCTAAAAGCAACATAGATCAGAAAGGAACACAGACAATATTCAGGAACAGTCACCTTACAGGCAATACAATGGCACTAAATTCCTATCTTTCAATAGTTACCCTGAATGTGAATGGGCTAAATGCCCCAATCAAAAGACACAGGCTATCAGACTGGATTAAAAAACAAGACCCATTGATATGCTGTCTGCAAGAGACTCATTTTAGACCCAAAGACACTCCCATATTGAAAGTGAGGGGGTGGAAAACCATTTACCATGCTAATGGACACCAAAAGAAAGCTGGGGTGGCAATCCTTATATCACACAAATTAGATTTTAAGCCAAAGACTGTAATAAGAGATGAAGAAGGACACTATATCCTACTTAAAGGGTCTATCCAACAAGAAGGTCTAACAATTGTAAATATCTATGCCCCTAACATGGGAGCAGCCAATTATGTAAGGCAATTAATAACAAAAGCAAAGAAACATATTGACAACAATACAATAATAGTGGGGGACTTTAACACCCCCCTCACTGAAATGGACAGATCATCTAAGCAAACAATCAACAAGGAAATAAAAACTTTAAATGACACACTGAACCAAATGGACTTCACAGACATATTCAGAACATTCCATCCCAAAGCAACAGAATACACATTCTTCTCTAGTGCCCATGGAACATTCTCCAGAAGAGATCACATCCTAGGTCACAAATCAGGTCTCAACCAGTACCAAAAGATTGGGATCATTCCCTGCCTATTTTCAGACCACAATGCTTTGAAACTAGAACTCAATCACAAGAGGAAAGTCAGAAAGAACTCAAATACATGGAGGCTAAAGAGCATCCCACTAAAGAATGAATGGGTCAACCAGGAAATTAAAGAAGAATTTTAAAAAATCATGGAAACCAATGAAAATGAAAACACAACTGTTCAAAATCTTTAGGATGCAGCAAAGGCAGTCCTAAAAGGAAAGTATATAGCAATACAAGCCTTTCTCAAGAAACAAGAAAGGTCTCAAATACACAACCTAACCCTACACCTAAAGGAGCTAGAGAAAAAACAGCAAAGAAAGCCTAAACCCAGCAGGAGAAGAGAAATAATAAAGATCAGAGCAGAAATCAATGAAATAGAAACCAAAAGAACAGTAGAACAGATCAACAAAACTAGGAGCTGGTTCTTTGAAAGAATTAACAAAGACTTAGCAAAAAGAAAAGAGAAATGACCCAAATCAACAAAATCATGAGTGAAAGAGGAGAGATCACAACCAACACCAAAGAAATACAAACAATTATAAGAACATACTATGAGCAAATATATGCCAGCAAATTAGATAACCTGGAAGAAATAGATGCATTCCTAGAGATGTATAAACTACCAAAACTGAACCAGGAAGAAATAGGAAACCTGAACAGACCTATAACCACTAAGGAAATTGAAGCAGTCATCAAAAATCTCCCAAGAAACAAAAGCCCAGGACCAGATGGCTTCCCAGGGGAATTCTACCAAACATTTTAAGAGGAATTAATACCTATTCTTCTGAAACTGTTCCAAAAAATAGAAATGGAAGGAAAACTTCCAAACTCGTTTTATGAGGCCACCATTACCTTGATCCCCAAACCAGACAAAGACCCCATCAAAAAGGAGAATTACAGACCAATATCCTTGATGAACATGGATGCAAAAATTCTCACCAAAATACTAGCCAATAGGATCCAACAGTACATTAAAAGGATTATTCACCACGACCAAGTGGGATTTATCCCTGGGCTGCAAGGTTGGTTCAACATCCACAAATCAATCAACGTGATACAATACATTAACAAAAGAAAGAACAAGAATCATAGGATCCTCTCAATAGATGCAGAAAAAGCATTTGACAAAGTACAGCATCCTTTCTTGATCAAAACTTTTCAGAGTATAGGGATAGAGGGCACATACCTCAATATCATAAAAGCCATCTATGAACAACCTACAGCGAATATCATTCTCAATGGGGAAAAACTGAGAGCTTTCCCCTTAAGGTCAGGAACATGGCAGGGATGTCCACTATCACCACTGCTATTCAACATAGTATTAGAAGTCCTAGCCACAGCAATCAGACAACAAAAAGAAATAAAAGGCATCCAAATCGGCAAAGAAGAAGTCAAACTCTCACTCTTTGCAGATGATATGATACTTTATGTGGAAAACTCAAAAGACTCCACCCCAAAACTGCTAGAACTCATACAGGAATTCAGTGAAGTGGCAGGATATAAAATCAATGCACAGAAATCAGTGGCATTCCTATACACCAACAACAAGACAGAAGATAGAGAAATTAAGGAGTCAATCGCATTTACAATTGCACCCAAAACCATAAGATACCTAGGAAGAGATCTAACGAAAGAGGCAAAGAATCTGTACTCAGAAAACTATAAAATACTCATGAAAGAAATTGAGGAAGACACAAAGAAATGGAAAAACGTTCCATGCTCATGGATTGGAAGAACAAATATTGTGAAGATGTCAATGCTACCTAGAGCAATCTACACATTCAGTGCAATCCCCATCAAAATACCATCCACTTTTTTCAAAGAAATGGAACAAATAATCCTAAAATTTGTATGGAACCAGAAAAGACTCTGAATAGTCAGAAGAATGTTGAAAAAGAAAAGCAAAGCTGGTGGCATCACAATTCCGGACTTCCAGCTCTATTACAAAGCTGTCATCATCAAGACAGTATGGTACTGGCACAAAAACAGACATACAGATCAATGGAACAGAAGAGAGAGCCCAGAAATGGACCCTCAACTCTATGGTCAACTAATCTTTGACAAAGCAGGAAAGAATGTCCAATGGAAAAAAGACAGTCTCTTCAACAAATGGTGTTGGGAAAATTGGACAGCCATATGCAGAAGAATGAAACTGGACCATTTCCTTACACCACACACAAAAATAGACTCCAAATAGTTGAAAGACCTAAATGTGAGACAGGAGTCCATCAAAATCCTAAAGGAGAACACAGGCAGCAACCTCTTCGACCTCAGCCACAGCAACTTCTTCCTAGAAACATCGCCAAAGGCAAGGGAAGCAAGGGCAAAAATGAACTATTGGGACTTCATCAAGATGAAAAGCTTTTGCACAGCAAAAGAAACAGTCAACAAAACCAAAAGACAACCGACAGAATGGGAGAAGATATTTGCAAATGACATATCAGATAAAGGGCTAGTATCCAAAATCTATAAAGAACTTATCAAACTCAACACCCAAAGAACAAATAATCCAATCAAGAAATGGGCAGAAGACATGAACAGAGAGTTTTCCAAAGAAGACATCCAAATGGCCAACAGACACATGAAAAAGTGCTCAACATCACTCGGCATCAGGGAAATCCAAATCAAAACCTCAATGAGATACCACTTCACACCAGTCACAATGGCTAAAATTAACAAGTCAGGAAACGACAGATGTTGGCGGGGATGCAAAGAAAGGGGAACCCTCCTACACTGTCGGTGGGAATGCAAGCTGGTGCAACCACTCTGGAAAACAGTATGGAGGTTCCTCAAAAAGTTGAAAATAGAGCTACCCTATGATCCAGCAATTGCACTACTGGGTATTTACCCCAAAGATACAAATGTAGGGATCTGAAGGGGTACGTGCACCCTGATGTTCATAGCAGCAATGTCCACAATAGCCAAACTGTGGAAAGAGCCCAGATGTCCATCGACAGATGAATGGATAAAGAAGATGTGGTTCATATATACAATGGAATATTATGCAGCCAGCAAAAGGAATGAGATCATGCCATTTGCAACGACACTGGTGGAACTTCAGGGTGTTATGCTGAGCGAAATAAGTCAATCAGAGAAAGACATGTATATGACCTCACTGATATGAGGAATTCTTCATCTCAGGAAACAAACTGAGGGTTGCTGGAGTGGGGGGTGGGGTGGGAGGGATGGGGTGGCTGGGTGATAGACATTGGGGAGGTTATGTGCTATGGTGAATGCTGTGAATTGTGTAAGACTGTTGAATCACAAATCTGTACCTCTGAAACAAATAATGTAATATATGTTAAGAAAAAAAAAAAAGAAGATAGCAGGAGGGGAAGAATGAAGGGGGGAATCTGAGGGGTAGATAAACCATGAGAGACTATGGACTCTGAGAAACAAACTGAGGGTTCTAGAGGGGAGGGGGGTGGGAGGATGGGTTAGCCTGGTGGTGGGTATTGAGGAGGGCACATTCTGCATGGAGCACTGGGTGTTGTGCACAAACAATGAATCATGGAACACTTCATCTAAAACTAATGATGTAATGTATGGGGATTAACATAACAATAAAAATTTTAAAAACCATCTTTCTCTACTTTAAAACCAATTACTAATGATTCAGTATAAAGAATGATTATTAGGTTCATGTAGCAGCATTCAGAAGAGAAATTATTTCAATGGGATAATGTTGTGAGCCTTCACTTATCTTATGAACAGGGAAATTCTCAATAAATAGTAAGACCTCTTTGTGCTCTGAGTTATTTCTACACAAAGCTGTGGCTCATTCAAAACACTTGTGCCGTTTTCACCATTCAGGACTGAGTGCAGATTTTATAACTATTCCATTGATTTAATCCACATAGGCAAGCCAACAGACACATTGGAATATCGGGGGAAAAACTGAGCTATTTGTTGAGGGCAGTAGGGATGGAAAGAAAACCTTTCAACCAGAGTCATTGAATCTTGGGTAATGGGGGGTAAAATGGAGGAGGTAGACGTGCCACTAGTGATCTATTACCTGGATGATGACTGAAGAGGTTCCACACAGTATCTTGGATAACTGAGTGACTACTCTGATGAGGCAAACAACCACTTGAAGCCCACTGAGAGCTATGAGAATAGAAAATAAAATGATGTTCCACTCCACTACGTGTGCAGGTTCCAGGCACTCGGTCCATATGCTGGAGTCTGTAAGGAAACTGAGAGAGAGGAGGGATATAGTCAACAAGACTCGTGGCCAAGCCAACATACTTGGTCCAAGTAAGAAGGCTCCAGATGTTTGTATGTTTGGGAAATTAATATATATTACTGAAATACATAATATTATTAAATGTGAATGAAAGCACTTAAAAAATCATTCAAATACATATATGGAGTATATAGCATGCATAAAGCATTGGGCTATGCTTATTTTAAACAGGGAGCCTGTCTCAGAGACAATTTTAATTCAGTTAGAAGGCAAGACACATTCTGAAGGGTTCACTAGTAATAAAAGGCAGCACGTGTCAATACCAAGAAAGGTAAAGATTGCTCATTCCCTAAAAGTCCAGAAGTTAGCCTGGGCTGTCCGGGACAAGGCTGAGCTTGTGTTAGATATAAAAGATCACAGATGTGGCCAAATAACAAAGGGAAATGCTGCTAGAAATTCCTAGACTCGGGGCACCTGGGTGGCTCAGTGGGTTAGGTGTCTGCCTTCGGCTCAGGTCATGATCCCAGGATCCTGGGATCAAGTCCCGTGTTGGGCTTTCCGCTCAGCGGGAAGCCTTCTTCTCAACCTCTCCCTTGGCTGCTCCCCGTTTGTGCTCTCTCTCAAATAAATAAATAAATAAAATTAAAAAAAAAAAATAAATCCCTTATAAGCCCTATTTTGCTTAAAAAAAAAAAAGAAAGAAAAGAAAAAGAAACTCCTAGACTCTGTCCCCAGAGTCCTTTCAAACAGTGGTTCCAGGATTATCTGGAGGGCTTGTGAAAATGCAGCTTGCAGAGACCCCACCCCACCCCCACCCCCACCACCGAGTTTCTGATCCAGAAGGTTTGGATGAGGCTTGACGTTTTGCATTTCTAAGTTCCCAGTGTGGCGGCGGCTGCGGCTGGTTTGGAGTCCGCAGTGCGATCACGTCTGCTTTAGAACACTGCTGCGCTCTGCTGCTGCTAAAATTTAAGTGATGAGGTGGGAATGCAAAAACTCGGAAGGTTCCATCAGTCTAGTTTAGCACTGGATTGCGAGAATTCAACCATGCCCCAAGATGATCTTGAAAGCACGCTGAATCTATCCGACTGACATTTGCTCACTTCCAGATCCAGCATGCCCCGCAGTGCTTCTCCGAAGGGTGACACTCTGTCCAATGGAATCAAAATGGAAAACTGGTCTCCTCAGAGAATTCTCCAAACAAAGATAATCAAACCTATTTGTAGGGCAGAGTTGTTCATAAATACCTTGTCAATAGCAATATGCTTTTTCCTGAGATGGCGGCTAAGGCAAAGAGCCTACTGGGCAAGTGGCCTGGAGCACTGATGTCTGTGGTGGGACCGGTGAATTCTGCAGTTCAGGGAACACCACCACCATGACTTCCCTCCTCTCTTTGTTTTTCCTTCTCCCCTACCCTCCCCCCACTCTGCCCCGTTTCTCTCCTATTCCCTTCCTTTAGTTCTCTCTTTCCTCCCTTTCTTTAGTTCCTACTCTCTATGCTCCGGGACCCTCAGAAGCACCGAGAATTTCCTGATCTTTCTAAAGGCACTTAAGTCTCAAGCGGCAAAAGTACTCAGTAGGGAGCTCTTGGTTCTGTATGATCTTGGACAAGAGACTTCACATCTCTGACCTCTAGAGTCTTACTTGGACAATGGGATTAACATATGGAACTCTGGGGTTATTAGGAAAATTCGGTGAAAGGTGTGTAAAAATGCTGTGGAACCTGTAAAGCCTGATACAGATAAAATCTCCTGTTACTATTTCCCTAGACCCATTCCATACACCCTCATACTCTGAACTCAGTCTCAGCCATCAGGGAAGCTAATCCCTTCAAGATCCTCACTCTAGACTTCCCAGTACACGCTCTGCACAGATCACCCAACACCTGAAAGCAAGATGACCTCCATGGTGTTGATTTTTCTTCTGGACTGTGGTGCTTATTTATTCTTCCTGTAAACCACAGAGTAGTAAATGCACTAGTAGGGTCTGGAAGGAATGGAGATGCTATTTCTGATACTCCTTCCCTCCACAGCCTCCATATAAAGCTCTATCACAGCATTTACTTCCTTATATTGTAAGTCTGTCTTATCTGTATCTATATCTATTCCCTCACTAAGCTGTGTACTCTGAGAGCCCTACCTTGATTTCTACACCCCTGAATAGCCAGGCCTAAGACCTAAGGCAGTGCCTGGCACATTGCAAAGATCCACAAATGCTTGTTGAATGGAACTGATTCAGGATCCCCAGCAGTCGCCATGCCCGTGATTGAGCCTACTGACTACCCAGCAGATGGAGCCATAAAACATTGTGCCCGGTAATGATGTTAATCATAAAATCTGCCTCATTCTAAAAATTTATTAAATCTTAATCTGTGCTTTGTTTCCATTTAATTGTCAATTCTGTGAGGTGGAAATGATTTACAGAGACTCAGGGATATCTGTTTAAGGTCATCATACAGTTTTGTTTTGTTTTGTTTTTAAAGATTTCATTTATTTATTTCACAGAAAGACACAGAGCGAGAGAGGGAACACAAGCAGGGGGAGTGGGAGAAGGAGAAGCAAGCTTCTTGCGGAGCAGGGAGTCTGATGCGGGGCTCGTTCCCAGGACCCTGGGACCGTGACCTGAGCTGAAGGCTCAGACGCTTAACGACTGAGCTACCCAGGTGCACCTAAGGTCATACAGTTTGTAAGTAGCAGATGGAAGACATGAACCCAGATGTGTAAGCATTGAAGGCTTGTGCTATGAGGGCAATGTTCACTCCAAAGCCTCCATCTTAGCAGAACATTCTGTCAGGTCCGTGTGAGCTCCTAGAGGGAAGTAAAACTGTGTAACTTATCTTTGATTCTCTAGCACCTAATTCAAGACCTGGGCACAGTAGATGCTCAAGAAATATTTGTTGAAAAACGTACAAATAAATAACTGATTTGTGGAACTTTAACATTAACATTTGTTCCACCCAGAATTTGCCAAGGTTTGGAAACTTCTCTAGGAGACCAGAGACTTGACTTAACTTCCCTTCATGGCTTCTAATGTTTTACCCCCAAATATTTGTCTGTAGCTGGAGTCAGGTGAATACAAATATCAAGGGCAACTTTCAATCTGTACCTCTGAAACAAATAATACAATATGTGTTAAAAGAAGAAGAAGAAGAAGAAGAAGAAGAAGAAGAAGAAGAAGAAGAAGAAGAAGAAGAAGATAGCAGGAGGGGAAGAATGAAGGGGGGGAAATTGGAGTGGGAGACGAGCCATGAGAGACGATAGACTCTGAAAAACAAACTGAGGGTTCTAGAGGGGCGGTGGTGGGAGGATGGGTTAGCCTGGTGATGGGTATTAAAGAGGGCATGTTCTGCATGGAGCACTGGGTGTTATACGCAAACAATGAACCATGGAACACTACATCAAAAACTAATGATGTAATGTATGGTGATTAACATAACAATAAAAATTTTAAAAAGAAAGAATAATGAAGAGGCATGTGAGCAATCTCAGATTCTTGCATTGAAAGGGAAATCTTCTTTGGTTTGGGGGTCTGGGGATGATGGCACAAAAAAATCATTTTTTGCACCTAGTGGGATTTTTTTCATTAGGGTCCCCTTTCCTGAGCCCCTAAAGTCCCACAGGAGTGGTCCGAAATGCCTGAGGTTATTTTCTAGGTTCTCCCGACCTGAGAGAGAGCTCTGCTCACAGCACGTGGCACTTGGTGGAACCTTCAGGACAAAGGTGGCTGTGGGCACAAAAGCAGTTTTGCAATCCAGGCCTAGCTGAGCATGTAAGACTTCAAATAAATGTGGGTCTTGAACAACAGAGCCAGTCATAGGGAACTGAGAAGAGACTGTAACTTCCCTAGGGAGTGGTACAGACACTCCCTCCATTTATATCATTAGAATTCTGAGCACAGGACAAGACCAGGAGAGGTTCGATGGACGTCTCCTGCATCTCTAGATGGCCCTGCTACCTCTAGAGCTGTCTCTGCAGGTGGTGGCAGGTACAATGCCAGTGTGAGGTGTTCTGCGATCCAGCACTGGGTTCCCCAACAGCTAACTGAACCACCAGCCCTCTAAGTAAGGCTGCCTTCCTAGACTCCTCTTCAGGCCACACTAGATCATCTCCTGGCTCCCCCACAAACCTTTGCACCTGGTCGTGTCCCCGGATCTCACTCTGAACTTGGCCGCTCATGCTGCCTGCTTCTATCTCTGTGTGTCCCTGATAGTATAGAGTGGGTAACACCATCCAAGGGCACTGGGATTCTCTCCCAGACAAGCCCTTTCCCAGCTCTAACAGACCGCACAATCCAAACGGGCCACACAAGACTGAGTTGTTAGAACCATTGAAGTCCTAGGCTCCAGCAGTTGCCAGGCCACAGTAACCACAAAGCTTTGCTCTGAAGTTTGGGAGAAACACACCTTTCATTTGGATATCTCCACATCAACCTCAAAATAGTGAATGCAAATGACATTAAAAGACTGGCCAAAAAAAGAGAGAGAGAGAGAAGAAAAACATCTAAACAGAGATCTGTGTAGGAAGAAACTGGTCTATTATTTAACTAATAGGAAAATTCTGCACTAACATACCCACATGGAACCCCAAAGTGATCATGGAAAATGAGCATGAGCATGAAGCCAGGCGTTTCTGGCTTTCTGAGCCCCTTGATTTGGGGGATTATTCCTTACCGTCCTGCCGTGCCTTCAAAGGCGTACTCCCAGCCATCCAGAGTGCGGCAGTAGGGACCCTGAACAAGGCCCAGAGCAGATATGACCAGGCAGTATCCAGAGAAAGCAATTCCAAGGGCAGAAAAGATCATCGACAGCAGTGTCTAAATTAAACATAGAAGAAGGAGGTCAGAAAAAAAAAAAAAAAGAGGAAGGAGGAGGAGGAGGAGAAGGTGGAGGAGGTCAGTGCCATAGAATGAGACAAGGGGATATTGTGGATAAATGTTCAGATAGGTACCTTCCCCTACTCACCCAAATCTACTGCATGCAGTCTGTGTAAATGCCCACAGAAAAACAGAAACATTTAATCCAAACCCACCTGATCTTTAAAATAAGTTTTTAAAATGACTTTTTGTTTGGGATTCCACAGAGGATCCTAGTTAATTTACTACATTTCTTCCTTTCTTCTGGAATTTCAATATCAAAATAATGATCATACATTAATGCAGTGAAAGGGTGTGACCGATCAATCTATAGTTACTAAAGACATTATTTTCTAGGTTAGGTGGGTTCTCTAAGAATCAGAAGCTAGGACCTTGGCTTTTCTCCTGTGAAGATGATATGTGAATACCTTCACTCACAGGAATATGAGGGGAAATATCAGGTGTTAGCCTACATGCCATATTTATGTTCAAGTGAGGATAAGATTAATGGGGAAGAGGGTGTTTTCCTTGGAGTAGAGAGAACGAGCAGTGTTCACAGGCAGATCGGTACAAGCAGAGTTGTAAAGGTAAATAGATTAGTGTGATCTAAGAGAGGGTTCCTACCGAGCGTTAGAGAGTTTATGAAGACCAGATTGACATGTTTGCTAATGTTGGGGAAATGGAGCTGTTGGACACAACCCAGCCCTCAGAGTTGCTTACAAAGTGAGTGCAACTTGGTATATGCAGGCAGAAGGTGACTTTGAATGCTGGATCAAGGAGGGTGGACTTCATCCTTCAGGGCAAGTAGCTTTCCCCCCCATACCTTTCACTAAATTTTTTTTTCAAATCTACCAAAAAGTTGAACATATAGTATAGTATACTAGAGTCAATGCATCTTTGTATACTCTTTGTCTAGACTCATCTTCTGTGAATATTTTATCATTTTTGCTTGCTCTCTCTCTGTATGTATATGTATATATCCATGCACATGTATGTATTTATTTACACATTTCTGTTCCCAAACCACCTAAAAGTAGGTTGTAGATACTGTGATATCTCACTCCTAAACCCATCAGCACATATCTCCCCAAAATAAAGATATTCTTTTATTCTGCAACTGTGTTTTACTTTTTTGTACAGAATCCAATGAGAGTTTATGCACAGGGTTACATCTCTTTAGTTTCCTTTGATCTACATTACTCTTACTGCCTTTTTGTTTTTTAGAATATTAAATTGTTTTTTAACAATCCCAGCCAGTTGTCTTATAGAATGTCCCCCACAATCTGGGCTATTCTGATTTTTAACTCACAACTAGACTTGGGTTAAACATTTTGGCAAGAACACCTGATGGGCATGAATACCTTAGGGACCTCTCACTGCTATTGGTGATGCCTTTGACCTCTTCGTTAAGGTGGTGTCCTTCAGGTCTATAAACATACATTTTCCACTTTGCAATTAGTAAATAATTGGTGAGGTAATTCTTTGAGACTGTGTAATATCCTATCCCCCAAAGACATTTCCACTGATGAATTTACCATCCACTGATGATCCTCATATCCATTGATCACTAATGATCACAATGACTGGTTGCAGGGTGCTGTTCATCTCACGCTATCATTTCTTCTGCATTTATAACTTATTACTTTTCTGCACAGAAAAACTTCCATTTCCCATCTCTCTCTTTCTCTATTATTGTGTACACATGGATTTTCTAATTCAGTGTGTTATCATTCATAACTGTTATTATTCTTTTAGATGCTCATTTGGTCCAAATATGGCCAGTGAGAACATCCTGTCAAGTCAATTCCTGTGCCCTTTGAGATATCCCTGTCATTCCTTGAACACCTCCTTGCTTCCTGGCACAAAATGTACCAAGCTCATTTTGAATTTATAAATAACCAGAATAGCTCTTTTTCCAACAAGCCATGTACATGGTTTTTGAGTAAGGAAGTGACATGAACCAATATATAATTTTGAAAGATGGCTCTGTGGCGATGGCATGCCAGCCAGAAGTGAGAGACCCCAAAACAAGGATTCCATGTCAAGACAATTTCAACTTGCGGTGACAAAGACATGCCCTGGAGGAAAAGGAAAAGATGTTGGGGAGGAAATAAGTAGCTAGAGATGGACCAAAAAAAAAAAAATTCTGGAATGAAAAGGACAGAAATAAGGATGCAAAAAAGGGTAGTTTGGTTTGGGAGACAACTTAATCTGGTTTTAGAAATGTTCCTTTCAAGTTGAGAGTAGAACAGCCAAGTTAGTTGATGATAAATTCAAAACTTGAGACCAGAAAAACTGAGAACAACAAACCTGTGATTTGGGGAACAAAAGTGATCTCACATTATATACATCTCAAATAATTTAACATTATTTTACTGATTATCACATTAATACATGCTCATTACGGGAAATCAGAAAAAAATGTATTTAAAAACCCAAAGAAGAAAAGAACAATTCTGCTTTTTTCCTATTTGATATTATTTCATTGGCACCTTCACATTGATTAAAAGATCATTCAAATTATATTTCTCATATTGATTTTAATAGAATGTTGGCCCATGATGGGATGAGACAAGCTACTTTTTTTTTTTAACAGGTTACTGACCGTTACACTTTACAAAGAAAATTTACCTATTCACCAATGCCATCTTCCAAAAAGGAAGAAGGATGTTTTGAAAAGAGAGAGCTCCTTGTTTACCAAATACGCTCTTAAGCAGTTCACTGGAAAGATCAACGAAGAATTTCTTCATTTGGTGAAACTGGCAACCATAGCATAGGACATATATTTGTATATATATATACAAATCACAGTCTAATGAGTAGATACCATTGCACAATTGAGCCTCGAAATAAAGCAGGAATAAGAATCTCTCTGAGTCAGAAAGACATGTATCATATGATCTCACTGATATGAGGAATTCTTAATCGCAGGAAACAAACTGAGTGTTGTTGGAGTGGGGGGTGGGGTGGGAGGGATGGGGTGACTGGGTGATGGACACTGGGGAGGGTGTGTGCTCTGGTAAGCGCTGTGAATTGTGCAAGACTGTTGAATCTCAGATCTGTACCTCTGAAACAAATAATGCAATATGTTAAGAAAAAAAAAAAAGAAGAAGAAGGTAGCGGGAGGGGAAGAATGCAGTGGGGGAAATCGGAGGGGTAGACGAACCATGAGAGACGATGGACTCTGAAAAACAAACAGGGTTCTAGAGGGGAGGGGGGTGGGAGGATGGGTTAGCCTGGTGGTGGGTATTGAGGAGGGCACATTCTGCATGGAGCACTGGGTGTTGTGCACAAACAACGAATCATGAAACACTTCATCTAAAACTAATGATGTAATGTATGGGGATTAACATAAGAATAAAATTAAAAAAAAAAAAGAATCTCTCTGAGTCAGTTTCATTTTCTATAAACTGTAAATGATGTAGATGATTATAGTACCTATATAACAGGGATGTTTCAAAATTAAAGAACACAATGGATATAAAAATTATTTCAAAAGTGTAAATATCATGACAATTTTTATCTATTATTCCAAGCACCTCTATTTGGCAGATAGTTGTTTTCCAGGGTTAACAACACACAGGATTTTGGCAGAAAACGAGACTCCACAGAAGAATGAATAGCAAACAAGAAGTTAATGGAGTTCAGGTCACCCCCAAAATATGGCACCTTAGCAGACTGAATATTTTAGACTGAAGGAGTTTGAGAAAATGGCAGAAACAGGATGGTCACTCCGACCCGTCCCAGACCCTTCACCCTTCTTCTCTGAAACAGGTCATAAAACTCCCACGTGCAAGTTACCCTCTCTGTACAAGGAGGAAAAGGAAGACATTTTTATCAGCAGAGACAGGGAATTTGGGGCCAAGAAACCTATGTAAACAAACCTCATTAAACTCAACCTTATCTTCCTGGTTACTTCTTCACCATTTACTACCCCCAGCCCAAACCCCCACACTTGCCAATTCTTTAATTGCTGTTTCTTGCTACTCTGGTCACTCCTTTAGGTCTTCATTCTCTTGTGAAGGCTCCCATGTATACATAAAATTCAATAAAATGTGTACCCCTTTCTCTTGCTAATCTGTTTTTGTCAGTTTAATTTTCAGATTGAGTGCCAGGGACCCTAAGAGGGTCGAATAAAACAGTATCTGGCATCCAACAGGGGGCACCATTGGCTGGGGGCCCCTTGCTTGGTCCCGGAGCTATGGTTAGAGATCCTGGATCTGTGACAAAAGCCACAGAAGAATTCTTGCCATGTCAGTTTCTTGGATCTCTGTCTGTGGGGGACTGGTCCAGGGTAGGTGGTAAGAGTCTTTTCCTTTTCAGATTCAGATTGGCAGGGGAAAACATTTATAAAAATTAGTTCTTTGGATTGTGACTCTGGTTAAAATTTGGTTTTGAGTTATCCATTGGTTATTGATCCTTTCCCTCCCATGGACAGCTAATCAATTTCCTGTTTGTCTCTTATTTGTGTCCTGAGAAATTGGCTTGGCTTTCTGCCTGTCAGGGCATGCAAGTGTCAGTTCTTGGAGGCAGCCAATTGTCAAGTTGTGGGCCCCCAAAAATCTGCCATACAGAAATTTGGGCTGCACCCCACTGTGGCTAGCATCCTACCAATTGTCGCCAGCTTTCAGGAGGAGTTGCCTAAGTCTTTCTTTTGCTACCTTTGAGAGTGATTTTGCTATCTTGGGAGGGCTGCATCTTTTGCACCCTCCTTGGGGACATCTCTTGCATCCATGGTTAAGTTTTGGTTTTGGTTTCAAGTCATTTGGTTTAAATATTTGAAACGATTTTTTTAAGGGGCTGTATGGTCAGAAGTTGGCCAAATTGAAGGTTGATATTCAGACCCTGATAGAAATTTTTTTTTTGGATTAGTCTCTGTATTTAGGAATACTTGATTTATATGAGCATTCATTTATCTCTATGCCAATTAGAATAAAACTCTTTTGAGAGATTTTATAAATTATTTTGGTAATACCATCTGGAGGTAGAAAAATATCACACATCTGTAACAGACATATACAGACATAAATAAACATATAGAAAGACACAGAGATCTTACGGCCTTTGTTTTTAAATTTTAGCCACGTATCAGGTACGTTGATACAAAACTCACCAGTTTATAAAAGAGTCCAAATTGTGTTTCTGGCCGATGGAACAAGTTATGGCTACCCATTTGGATGGCTAAAGTTTTTTACTAATAGTTGTGGAGAAGAGTGTTAAGATTTTTATCTGCCCTTGACAAGTAATCTTATGAAGGCTGTGGACTAGATTTTGGCAAGGGAGTTTTTATAGCAGTTGGTTTTTTAATTTTTTTAATTTTTATTTTTTATTTATTTTTTTGACAGAGAGAGACATAGCGAGAGCAGGAACACAAGCAGGGGAGTAGGAGAGGGAGAAGCAGGCTTCCCGCAGAGCAGGGAGCCCGATGTGGGACTCGATCCCAGGACCCTGGGATCATGACCTGAGCCGAAGGCAGACGCTTAACGACTGAGCCACCCAGGCACCCCAGCAGTTGGTTTTTTTAAAATGTATGCTTTAGAAATTATGGAAATAGCATATTCATGAATTTGCCAATCAACAGGATGTTGATATCTATAACACTCCACAATTGCTTACTTCCTGGTTTTCACTAGAAATTTAAGTTTCTAAGAGTTAAGAATTCTAATATATGGAATTAAAACTGCTAAAAAAAAAAAAAGAAAGTAAAACTACTGGAAATAAGAAGAGAACAACTGTGTGTGCAAGAAAAAAAAGTAGGTGTTTTGGTAAAAAAAAAAAAAAGTATGAGTTACAGAGATGTGTTTTTGTTGAGGGAAAAAGAAACTTTTGGGGAAAACTTTTTCTCCTCTGTCAAGTGAATCAATTTCCATTGCAGAGCTTCAGCAGTTCCAAACCTGGGCAGACTCACAGTTAGCCTTCAAGATGTGCTTTATTTAATTTAAATGAGAATTAATTGCCACCATGCTGTAATTGAGAAGTTGTACATAAAGCTCCATATTTCTACTTTCTACTGAAAACTGAGAAACACTGCCCAGTTTTATCATGATAACAATCGGCTGGACTTGAGGAGCAGCTCCCTCTCTCCCTTAAACAGAGACTTGCTCTAATGCCTACCAGGCTCAGTTCTTTCATTTCCATCAGGTAGTTGCTCCTGGGGGCATATAAACTGGGAACCCTGTTCTAAAGCCCTACCTTGAAAGAACCAAGCAGAGAATTCAGAGAATCCCCTCTCCCTTCCTCCTGCTTTTCCCTTTGAGATACCAGTCATCTCATTCAATTTGATTATCAGACCCTGTCCAGACTCCACACTGTCTACAGCATCCATTTGTGCTGGAGATGGTAATAGTCAAGGCAAATTGAACACATTTATTTTTATTATGAACCTAATGGCACATACGTTTGCTTTCTAGAGATTCCCTGAGTATCACAGGTTAATGTTTACCTGAATCTATTGCTTCAACTAGGCAATTTTGAAAGCTTTTCCATAAGTGTAATACCAGCAGCTACTGGGGAATGTCTGAGGTGGTCGGTTGGTTAAGAAAATACATACACCCACAAAGCACATGTACATGCACATGCACGTGCACAGAGTGTCTTTCAATTCTTCAAATCTTCTCCTCCAGAAGCACAGTTCTAAATTTAGCAGCTAATTTAGTCGTCCAACACATCTGTCAAAGAAAGCTGGACATGTCATCTTGGCTGCGCATTAAAATCTGGTTGCCCCTCGGACCAGCCAGCTCAGGTTGTCTGTGGGTGGGATTCCAACTCCAAGCTCTCAGATGATTACAACGGGCAGCCACAGTGGGCAGCCACTGCTGCAAAATATGCCTACCAGGCCTCCAGGAAAGTCCTTTTGGTTAATACATAACGCGTTCTCTCTGAGCCACAGGTAATTCATATAAGTATGAATAACAATGATCTAACTCACGGGGTAAGTGTGAAAAAAACTATCAAGTGCTATGCAAATATGATTAAAAGATGATGACCCTGAGGAGAAGGATAATGATGGAAATGTAGGAGCCTAGCACCTGCCTGCTGAGCACAGGCTTAGAAAATTTGGTTGTATTATTCTCTCTTGATTCTATTTAAATTATTTTTAAAATCCCAGTTTAAAAAAATGTACATCACGTATACCCAACACATGGATAAATCTAATCATTATGCTGAGTGACAGAAGCCAGATACAGAAGAAAAATTCTGCATGATTCTATTCACATAGACTACAAGCTAATCTACAGTGACATAAAGCAGATCAAAGATTAATCTTTCAGGGGTGATAGAAATGTTCTGTGTCTTGATTGTGATGGTTGCTTGGGTGTATTTGGCTGTCAAAACTCATGGAATTGTACAATTTTAATGGATGCCGTCTATTGAATGTAAGTCAGTCCTCAATAAAGTTGAAAAGGGAAAAAAAATAAACTCACAGAAACCCAGTTAGGAAAAGGTAATATTATTTTCTAATTTCATGTATCTTTAAATCCTGAACTTCTGGAAGAACATCAGCAAGACAAAGGTGGAGGAAAGACAGTAAACAAAATGGAAGTTTGTTTGTTTGTTTGTTTGTTTGTTTGTTTTGAGTAAGCTCTTGGGCTCTGAGTTGAAAAGATCAGGGAGAGGGGACAATAGTGTCAATATTTTCATGTTTCATGAGTGAGAGGAAAGAGAGCCAGAGCCCATTCAGCCATCCTCAAAGTACTATTGCTCTTACCCTGTATTTTTTGCTGCAGTTTTCACTCTGGCAACATTTATAGTTGCTATCATTCTCCAATACAAGAAGAACTGCTGCTACTATAAGCATCTGTAGTAGGGAAGAGAGGAAATATCAGAAATGAAATACTAGTCATAATCAGAGCACAGTGATTCAGAGCAGGGACTCTGGGGTCAAGTGGACCTGGGTTCGAATCCCAGTGCTGCCATTTTCTAGCTGTGTGAGCTTGAGAGTCCTTCCCTATAAAATGGTGTTGGGAACGCATCTCATTGGGTTGTTAGGAGGTCATGTATGCAAAATTTTGAACATAGTGCTTGGTTTATAGTAAGTGATTGATAAATGTTAGCTATTATTGGCATGGCATCAAAAGCTAATGATTAAGCAGTAAATGGTATGGACATGGGAATACCACCCCACACAGCAAACCTGCATTTCTCACTGACTTAGTTGCAGAGGTCAAAGGAAAATCATCCACCAGACTTTTCTGTTTGCCAGCCTCTCTCCATTTACTGCCCTCTGGGAATGCAGGTGAGAGGCATGGTTAATCTGAAACTACATGTCTTAATTCAAAGTAAAGTCAGTTTGATTTGCCCAAGCACTCAAATCATCTCAGGTTCAAATTTTCAAGCGTCCTTTGTCTCTATCAAGCCAACAGACTGGGAGAATTCAATGTATTCTACTTTCTTTTCTTGGTATCCTAAGCAAAGGGCTCAAGTTCTGAAAAGAACGTGGATTTCTTTACTGTTATAGTTCCCAGTCTGGGCAGGTATGGACCGTGAATTGTTTCTGACAAATTCTCCACCTATCCTTTACTCCCAGTGCTCAGGACTGAATCTTGAAGCTGAGTTCCATTGTTATTTTCCTATGTGTAGTCAACATTTCCAGTTTCCAAGTTCGTCAGCTTTTGTTTGTCTACTTATTTATTTATCCACATCCCTCTTCTTTCTCTTAAAAAGATTTGATGCAGTAACAATCATGTTTTTCAAGAATTCCTTGACAATGGAAAATAGAGAACTGGTTCTTTTCTAACTTTTAAATTTTACACAGAATATAAGCCAAAGAGTCTTATATTCTCCTCCTTTCAACACCATTAGTTATCGCAGATTTTAATAGATTCTGGTTTAATCTTATCAATGCCTTGCAACCCTTCTATTGACTACGGTGACATATTGAGGGAAACAATGACGAGAGAAAGCACAGTACAACAGGAACGGTAACTGGCTTCATTACAATATTAGTAGAAACAATTAGACCTAGACCCTGGAGTCCTGTGTCCTAAGAGAAACACAGGCATCGCTCGTGTTGAAAGAGAAACTGCTTTTTTTTTTTCATTGTAAAATTATAACTGGAATACAGGGCTCAAGCATAATGGAGGAACATTACCCCAAATCCCGCACCCTCACATGTTTTTATGTATTTACTCCTAGTATATTACCACATGTGTATATTTTGCATAGTTGTAATCGTAACTTATTCACAATTTTTGTATCTTTTCTTTTTTTTCTTAACACAAAATAATATGCATTTTTCATGTTACTACATCTTCATAATTATCATTTTCATCACCATAGAAAGTGAATGTACCACAATTTATTTGGCCAATTCTATGCTAGGGGGCTCCTACTAATTACTTACTATTATGAATAATGCTGCCATATATATCTATGTATGCATCTCTCTCCTTATTATGGATTAGTTGCTCAGAATTTATTCTCAGGTTTAGGATTACTGAGTCAAAAGACATAAGCATTTTCATGGATCTTAATACAGCCTATCAAAATCTTCTCCAAAAGGTTTGCATTCACTTATAGTGCAATAACCAAACATTCATTATGTACCTACCTATCACATAGCAACTTCAATAGCATTGGATATCAATACTTTAAAGTTGACTAACTTCATATGCAAAATAGTAACGAAATGAAAACTGTTTTCATCATAGTTATTCAAATATTATAATAATTAAACACCCATGAAGATGTAGAGATAAATTATAATGCATTTTCTTTTGTGTCATTGGTAGTATAGTAAGCTTGTATTGCACAACGTGCTGTTTTTAGAAACGATATGATCAGGAAAAGGGTTTTTTCCTCCGACTTGCCAACATGATTTACTACCAGCTTGTTTTTAAAGAGCACAAAGTCATCAGGAAAACATTCATGGATTCTGACTGGAAATAATTTGATTTCATTTTCAAAAACACCCCCCATTAAGAGGTGTATAATATCAGACTATTTAATGATGATCTGGCCCATTCTTCAACAAGGATTTATAATCGCAGTATTCGCTGGCTACCTATACATGTCAGCCTCCGTCCTGGGCACTTCCTTCATGAGATTTTATTGAATCCCCACAATTACCCTAAAAAGTAAATGCTATCACTCCCATTTTTCAGATGAAGACACCGAGGCTCAAAGACATCGAGTAACTTGCTCAAGGTCTCATGGCACAAATGGCAGAGCTTGTATTTGAACACAAATTTGAATCTCCAAACCTCTGTTTTTTCCACGCGGTCTTGATACCTCTCCAATCTAGAGAAATCATGAGTGCAGATAGAAAGTATTCTAGAAAAGAGCACTGCCACTGGACATTAAACAGCTTAAACCAACACACAGGGTTCATGAGGACATATTTCGACCAGCCAGCGACCCACAGACTTTCATTAGGACTAATTTCCTGCACTGCTGAAGTGACATAAATGGGCAGCTTACCGAAGACAAAGCCACCCTCCCAAGCCCTCACAGACTACCTGTCCCTCTACCCCCACCCATCTTCCAAATCCCAAACCCAGGATTAGTGGCATGATTTTTCCATTATTCATTATTTCTGCTAGGAACAAGACAATGCTTAGTAAAAACACCCCCTTCTGCAACCCCAAGTCTCCAAAGTCACACTTACCATGATACCTGAGAAACAGATTCCTTCAAAATACCACACGTAGTTGGTGAGTTTATTGCTGGATGCATAGGAAGTTTGCCCATTTGGGAAATACAATAATATATTCACAATTATGCTCCAAAGTGCAAGCAGAATCAGCAGACCACTTAAGCAGCCTCCACATTTCCGAGACCCCATTTTACCCTGCTCAGAACCTGCAGGAGATTTCAAGAGTGTAGAATTACATAAAGCCTAATTTTCTTCCTACCTGTCCCCCTTTTTTTTTTCTTTTTGAGATTACCTACCACTTTCTGGGTCAGAGCCCTTCACTTCATATTCATGAGAAGCCCAGGGCTCGGACAGAACTGCAGCCCGCAATCTCTGGTGAGAAATAGTGGTTTACTGTTTGGAGAACAATAGACAATGATCCAGGGCTGAAGAGCGGAGCTGGTCTTCATCCTGTGCCAAAGGAATGCGGTGTTTTTACTGCATTTTAAAATAAGTCATTTTCCTCTGGATTACAGAAAGAAAGCCTTAACCCTGAGCATATTTTTAAGAAGGAAGTTGGGGTGGGGGGTGGGGTTGGAATCAAATCTGGCAAATTTCATCCAATGGTGAACAGGGAGGTTAAAGGGAAAACTACCAAGGAAGTTTATGCTAGAGCAGTATATCCTGACTTTATGTATCTACCCTTCATTCAGTATGCTCTATTTTGTGCTCACTATTCACCAAGCTTTGTTCCAACTGCAGGGGACACAAAAAGACAAAGACAGGGACAGGCTGATGGGGGAGAAAAACAAGACATCCCTGTGGGTGAGTTTACTGTTGCAACATGGGTACAGTTTTCCTTCCAGGAGTTCATCTCTGTGATTTCTACCTCTCTGGAAAATAATAACAGGTATAAATTCGTATCTCTCTTGCTGCTTAAGAAAATGGGTAAAAGAATCTGGGTAATTTGATTAAGACTTTATGTGTAAGAAGTTTGAAACAAGGATTTAAGAATTATTGCTTCTAAATGACTGCCCTGAATAGAAAGAGCCACAGGCCCTTCTAATTAGGATGACATGAGCAAAGGATTAAGGGATAGCATCCTGACACTGCTATGTTTTTTTGTTTTAAAGATTCTGTTTATTTATTTATTTGAGAGAGCCAGCATGAGCAGGGGGAGAGGGGCAGAGGGAGAAGCAGACTCCCTGCTGAGCAGGGAGCCTGACTCAGGGCTCAATCCCAGGACACTGAGATCATGACCAGAGCCAAAGGCAGGTGCTTAACCAACTGAGCCACTCAGGCACCCTCACCCTTTTTTAATGATTTTATTTATTTATTTATTTATTTATTTATTTATTTATTTATTTATTTGAGAGAGAGAGGAATTGTTGACACTACTATGTTAAAGATGATGCGGACAATGGTGGTAAGGAATTCAAGGTTTGCCTGACCTCATTGCCACCTCTTTCTATTGGTAGCAGCAGAACCCTGTTCAGCTTAACCTTCTTTTTAAAAATTATTTAATTATTTATTTCTTTATTTGACAAGGACAGAGAGAGAGAGAAAGAGCACAAGCAGGGGGAGCAGCAGAGGGATAAGCAGGGAGCCCAACGTGGGGCTCAATCTCAGGACCCTGGGATCATGACCTGAGCCAAAGGCAGACGCTTAACCAACTGAGCCACTCAGGCGCCCCTCAACTTAACTTTCTTTTTTTTTTTTTTCAACCTAACTTTCTTAAGTCTCAACTTCCTCATCTGTGAAATGGAAATTAAAAAAAAATTATACCTTCCCTAGAAGAATAATGTGAGGGTTAAACAAGATTTTGTGTACAAACCACAGTGTCAAGTGATATAGAAGGAGTAGCCAATAAATCAGAGCCATCATTAACAATAAAAAGAGCAGTTATAGGGACATAATTTCAAAACAGTACAGAGAGCAGAAGTAACATCTGCTCTCTTGGTACCCAAAGAGTTCTGTTTCATGAGCTCTTAAATCTTGATCCCAGAAGTATTTACATTAATTTGTTAGTGTCCTCCAGAAAGTATTAATATTCTATAATATATATACTTTTAAGGCAAGAGAATAAAAACTTATTTTATATAAATAATGTTATATTATATTCATACTTTTTTTTCCCAAAAAATTGAGATCCTGGGCGCCTGGGTGGCTCAGTCATTAAGTGTCTGCCTTCAGCTCAGGTCATGATCCCAGGATCCTGGGATCGAGTCCCACATCGGGCTCCCTGCTCAGCGGGAAGCCTGCTTCTCCCTCCCCCACTCCCCCTGCTTATGTTCCCTCTCTCGCTGTGTCTCCCTCTGTCAAATAAATAAATAAAATCTTTAAAAAAAAAAATTGAGATCCTTGGATCCACTTTTGGATTCAAACAAAAAAAACCTAGAAACTAAATCTTATTCTAGGATGGGTTCCAAAGAGATTTCTTGGCACCCCTGGTGAGTGTGATTTTTTTTTTTCCCTAGTGTTTTTGAGCAAAGTGCATCACAAAGTCTGGTCATTGGATTTTTTTTCCAGGGACATAGAAGCAAACTAAAATCATATTTACTAGAACCCTTAGGATGATAGGGAGAGCAACAGTTTGGGCTGAATATTATTGAGCACCTCTTATGTGCCAAGCACTGTTCTAAGAGCTGGGGAGAGATGGATCCATGAAGGAGATAGTTCAAAATCCTTGCCCTTGTAAAGCTTACATTCTATTGTGGGGAGATTAAAAATAAAAAAATACATATATAGCTTTTCAGGTAGTGATCAGTATGGCTAAAATAAATCAAGAAAAGGGCAAGTAGGAGTTCCAGAGAATAGGGATGGGAATATCATTTCAAACAGAGTGGTCAGGAAAGATCTTAACAAGATGACATCTGAGTAAAGATGTGAAGGCAGTGGAGAGTGCGAGCATGTAGGGAACTTGGGGGGGAAGGATTCCAGGCAGAGAGAATGGCAAGTGTACAAAAGCCCTGAGGTCGAAGTGAATCCTGGCGAGGAGACCACTGTGGCTAGAGCCAAGTGAAGGGGGGGAAAAGTAGTAACATCTGAGATTAGTTTTGAGTAGGAAAATGACTTGCTATGTTCAAAGGCTCACCATGGCTGCTGTGTTGTGAATTGGTTGAAAGAAAGGAGGTGAGTTCTAAAGACATTTCAACAACCCAGGTAAGAGATAATAGTGGCTCAGACCATGACGGTAGTAGCCGAGATGGTGAAAAAAAGGCTGGATTCTGTGCATGTGTGTGTTTAAGATTTTATTTTACATAATTTCTACACCCAATGTGAGGCTCAAACTCACAACCTGGAGATCAAGAGTCACGTGCTTTACTGACTGAGCTGGCCAGGTGCCCCTGTATGTATTTTTAAGACAGAATCAACAGTATTTGGTGACAGATTGGATTGAGTATAAGAGAAAAAGAGGCATCAAAGATGACTACATGGTGCAAGGCCCAAGCAACTGGAAGAATGAAGTTGTCATTAACTGAAATGACCAAAACAGCAGGTTGAACAGGTTTGGGAGGGGAAAAGATGAAGTGGTAAGTTTCAGGCATTCCAAGTTTTGAGATACCTATTAAAATCCAAGTGGAGATGCCAATTAGGTAGTTGGATATACAAATATGAAGTGCAGGAGAAAAGTCTTGGGTGGAGTGTATAAGAGTTGTCAGCATTTGATATTATTTAAAGCCATGAAACGCTATGAGAATAAGTGTAGACAGAAAAGAGGCCCAAGGACTAAATCCTGGGCAGTCCAATGAGTTGAGTTTGGAGACATGACAGGGAGCCAGCAAAGGAGCCTGAGAAGTGGCCAGTGAGTTAGAGAAAAACCAGAAGCTTATCCTAAAATTTGAGTTTCTAGCTGAGGAGGAAGTAACCAACTGAGTCAAATGCTGCCTATTCTTCAAGTAATATGGGAGGACTGAGAGTTGGCTATTGGATTTAGCAACATGGAGGTCACCAATGACCTTGATAAGAGAAACTGGTGGTGCGACAGACATAGGAGGCCCACTGGAGTGGGTTCAAAAGAGAACGGAAAGAGAGGAGAGGAGTTTTTTTGGAGAGTTTTACTATAAAGGAGAGCAGAAAAATGACACGGTGTGGCCATGAAAGCGAGAGGCGAGGTAGGATTGGAAAAAGGAATTGAGAGGATTTAGTTGAGATTTTATTCTTATTCTTATTGCTGATAAGATATTGCAGTAGCTGGAGGAAAATGGAAGTCAAGGGAAAAAATTTAATGGGAAAAATTGTAGTATGTCTGTACATTGATGGGAATGTTCTCGTTGGGAGTGGGTGAGGGGAGGTGGGGATTGACAATGCAAGAGAGAGAGGGGAGAATTGCTGGAATGTGTCCTTGAGTAAATGAGAAGGTTGGGAGCATGTACACAGATGGAGGAGTTGGTCTTAGATATAGCCTGGGCCCCTCAGTCCTTGGCACAGAAAGGAAGACAGAACAGACGAGATTGGATTTGTTTTCTTGGTGAAACAGGAAGCAGGTTGATCAGCCGAGAAGGAGAATGGGGGGAGAGTATTAAAGGTTTGGAGAGAGAGGAAAAGGTATAAACAGTTGCCTAGGATGGTGGATGGTCTGGAGGATAGCCAGCAGGCAGTGGGGGCCCAATGAGGTCATGAATGGATAGTGAGCCTGGGCAGCATGATTGAGTGTTTTTCCTAGTGAACTGCAGCTGCAGAGGTATGGGCAGAGGAGTAAGGAAGCTGGAATTGTCAGGACTGGGACTTTGCCAGGCAAGTACCGTGAAGAGAGAGAGAGGCAAGGGAATCAAGAATCTATGTAAGAGAGTGATTACAATGATGGACCATGGAACGCAGTGTGAGAAAGTCAAGGACATGAGAGAATGTGAGGAGAGAGAAAAGGGGGTTGGATTTGGAGACTGTGTGTCCCAGTGTGGTTGAAGAGTTCCTTGTTTGGGGTGGCAGAAAGAGAAAGAGCTGGAAAGGCAGAATTTAATGATTGAGAAGTGGGATGCTGGAATTTGAGATTAAAATGTTTCAGGCATTGATGAAGACAAAGTCTAAAGGTGTATTATGGGCTGAATTGTGTCCCTCAAAATTCATTATGTTGAAGCACTAATCCTTATAACCTCAGAATGTGACTATATTTAAAGTGGTAATTAAGTAAAAACGGGGCTGGTAGGGTGGGCCTTAATCCAATGTGACTGGTGTCCTTATAAGAAGAGGAAATTTGAACACACAAAGAGATACCAAGTGCACCTGGTGTACAGAGAAAAGACTGAGTGAGGACACAACAAGAAGGCATCTGTAAGCCAAGGAGAGAGGTCTCAAGAGAAACCAAACCTGCTGACATCTTGATCTTGGACCTCAAGCTTCCATTACTCTGAGAAAATAAATTTCTGTTGTTTAATCCCCCTAGTCTGTACTATTTTGCTATAGTAGTCCCTGCAGACTAACACGGTGTGGCCATGAAAGCGAGAGGCGAGATAGGATGGGAAACAAGAGGATTGGAAAAAGGAATTGAGAGGATTTAGTTGAGATTTTATTCTTATTCTTATTGCTGATACTTTGTA